CTCTCTCTCTCTCGATTGATGTGTATCACTATCTTTGTCGCCTTTTTTGTTGTTCTGTTCATTCTGAGTTGCATCGCAAACGGACATGTGTGTGCACAAAGGATGTTTCCCCACGAATAGGATGTGTGGATGTTAACAAGACTCTGTGGTTTGATTTCTGCCAGTATCTTTGTCGCTATTTTTTATTTTTATTTTTCATCGCTTTCTGATTTCGCTCGCAAAGGCGAGAAGCACGCCGCAAAGGATGTTCTAAGCCCTTGGTGGAGTGACTCGTGTCCGTCTGTTAATCGGCCGCACAGCGATGTGGCCGGCTATGTTGTGATGCTGTAAAGCCTTGGCGGATTGACACGTGTCAGTCCATCCATACAGCGAGTGTTCCACGTGGTCGTCGACAATGTGCAATGCCTTGGAGGATTGACACGTGTCAGTCCATCCATACAACGAGTGGTCCACGTGGCCGTCGACAACGTGCAATGCCTTGGCGAATTGACACGTGTCAGTCCATCCATACAGCGAGTGGTCCACGTGGCCGTCGACAACGTGCAATGCCTTGGCGGATTGACACGTGTCAGTGTGTTTATCGCCACGATGAAATGGTCGACGATGTTGTCATGATGTGAAGGGAGAGACGACTGAGACGTGTCTGTGTGTGTCCCCATCTCGCCGAACTGGTCGACGATGTGATCATGTTGCACAAGCTCTGCGAAACAACACCTGTCAGTCTCTCTCTCGCGTATGTGAATTTTTGTATTTTTAATTTTTTTTTTCGGACATATGTGTGTGCGCTCGTGGGGAAAGGGTCCATGGTTTCGTTTCGCGTATCATCTCTCTGAAGACTCACACACACACACACACACACACACACACATAATTTGTTGTTGAGTACATTTTCTCGTGTGTGTTGTTCGGTTTGAGTCAATTTTCGTTGTGTTGATCGCATACGTACTTATTCACATATGTCTGGCACCACAGCTTGCATGCACATGTCACATACGTATTGTGACACTGTGGAACGGAGCGCAACGGCGAAAAAAAGACACGTTGCCACAGATGATCCACTTGCACACAAAGCAAATAACACACACACACACACACACTTGAGCGGGTGAGAAGGACTCATACTTTGCCGAACTGCTGATTCATGTGGAAGACGAAGAAGATGAGAAATAAGAAGAAGAATAAGCGGAAGAAGAAGATGACGAAGAAGAG